GATTAGATAATTGCATTAATGAGAAATTGAACAGGTGTTCCTAATAATCCTTTAGGTGAGTGTATATTGAGGGGACGGACGGAGCAAATTTTATTTTCTTTAGTTTCTCTAACCCTGTCTAAACATGCTTCATTGGTATCCCACTGTTGTGTTTTATGTCACAGTGTCACAAAATAATATTTCCCTGTAAGTCATACCATGTATGATTTTTATGTGACAAATAAATGTTGAATTTGAATTATTAGCAGTTAGCAAGCAGTAAGGTTAGGGTTAAAAGCCCCTTTTCCTTAGGAAATGTAACTAAATTGTATATGGAGCTAAGAGTTCTCTCTTTTGAACCTCTACTCTGTGAGGAGATCCTGGGTTGCTGACCCTTACTATGCCCATTGAAGTTAGATTTCTGTAGACACATTGAATGAGTCACCCAAGAATGATGCCTGAGTCTGCAGAAATGGCCACAGGCTTCCAGGCGCCTCACGACAAGCAGCGGAATACGATGAAAAACACTTAGGAGTGTATTGTTTCATGGTCTTCAGACAGACTGGGACCAGCGTGAGTCAGTGAGGTGCGTAGTACGCTTAGCTGACATTCAGGGGTAATGTTCTGAAGCACAAACGTCTCATGCTCTAAGAAACCAGTCATGGTACATTTTTTATAATTTATTTGGCAGATACATTTATCCAAAGCAACGTACAGTCAACCCTTCCACATTGTGGGGGCTAGGGGCACAGCCCCCCCCCAATTTGGAAAAATCACGTACGTTTATTCGGTCCCCCGGTCTCCTTGATGACCGAAGCAAAATGATACGAGAAACGCAAGATACAAAGAACACTGTGAGATCACTACAAAGTCACTGTGAGATATTATGTGAGAGGCTTCCGTAAGCACGCTTGGTGTCCTCTAAACCAGCACTGTACATGTATTTTATGCATTTATGAGTTACTAAACTTATAGTGCATTGTGTGCAGCTTTTGGAAAACTCAAAAAAAATCCCATTGAATTTCTTATACCGACAAACTGACGCCGTGATACATCAAAACTGCATTGGGGAAACTGCAATGCAGAGGGGTTGACTACATTTTTTGAGAAAGTAGGGTCAGGCAGTTTCTGGGGCTACAGGGTTAAGGGCCTCGCTCAGGAGGCCGGCAGTGACATCACTCTGCCGAGTGTCTAACTGCGCTCTTCCCGACCACCAGGGGGCGCCAGGTGGCAGACCCAAGCTCTGGTCATTATGAGTACGTAACCAGGCACACTCAATGCTTGTTTTCTACAGTTCAGAATGAGGCTTGATCCGCCAAATGAGAGAATGGCAGTGTTAAGCAGGGATGTTCTGCTGTGTGTAGCCAGGATTTGCATGATTTCAGCAGGCCTGTGTTGTTAACATAATGTTAATGAATATTGTATTTAATATTTAACATCTAACGATCCCCCAGGGGTGAGATGATACTTCATTGTTGATTGCTCATCTAAAACTAAAGGGGTTTAACCTTTGGAATTAGCTTTGTCTAGGAAAGACATGTTTGTGAGGTTTGAACTTCATTTGACATGTCACTGTTGCACTAATCTAATTGTGGTAAGTCTTTTTTTAGTAGCGAAACCCCCCTAAAATGGTAAATTATGGACTGACTCACTTTCCTGCTGCTGTTATGACTGGGAGGGGTGGGAGTGTGAGTTGGGGATGTGGACAGGACATCAGATAGCAGGTAGCACACACAGACACACACAGACACACACAGACACACATACACACAAACACACATGCAAACACAGACATACACACACAGAAACAAACATACAAAAACAGACACACACAGAGAAACACACATACACACACAGACACAAACACACAGACTCACACAGAGAAACACACATACACACACAGACACAAACACACAGACTCACACAGAGAAACACACAAACGGACACAGACTCACACACATAGAATACACATATACATATTGACACAGACACACGCACCAACATACACAGAAACAGACTTGCACACCCAGACACAGGCCGACACACACAGAAACACACGTACACATATGGACACATACAGACTTACACACCCAGACACAGGCCAACATACACACATACAGGCACATACACATAGGCACAGACAAACAGATGCACTACAGACAGACACACAGACACAGGCTGACACACACTGTTACCTCTCCTTCTCAGCACTGCTCTTTCTGCGAATGTTATCTTTTGTTGTTCTTTCCTTCATGATACCGAAGTGCAAAGCACCACCATGACGTGATTCAAGCAGCAACCATCAATATTGTGCTCAGCTACGGCCGGGAGGTGCAGACCACACAAACAGACACATTAGCGTTCTGGTCACATCACAACAATGTGGCACGCCGCGGCCGCCAGTCCCGCTGCCGTTACCCTGTTTTCTGCATCTCACAGCTGAGATATGTGCCCGCTTCCGTGACCAGGTGAAAGTCCAGGGCGTGAAGGAGGAGCTGCGCTGCCTGAGTCTGCTGAGTGCCTTGGATCAGGACCAGGAGATCCCACAGCATCTGGTGCACCTGTTCGGGGAGCCCTGCATCAAGCTGGCCGAAGGCATCAAGTCCTACATCTCCAAGGTAACTATCTGGGTTACACATCCATCCATCCATCCATCCTTTATCTGCTTATCCAGGTCAGGGTTGCAGGGCATATATTTCGCTAAAGATAAACGGAACAGGAGGTGAGTGTTTCAATGTGAGATAAAAGTACACATCCTCCTGAGATCCAGAAGCTCATTTTTGTTCTCTTTAGAGGACAGAGTGTTTTTGCTCATGTCTCTCATACTATAACCGCCACTCTAAGTCTGTCGTTCCTCACAGAGGACGGTAATGGCTTTCAGATGACATCACATGTGCAGGGCAGTGACCTTGCCGACGTCCTCTTACTGTCAAATCAAAATTTTAATCGATAGAAAAGAAAAAGTTTTCACTGGGGGTCGGAGAAGGTGCAGCATTCCTGGAATGCTGCACATGGCGCGGCTGGGAGGTGGCGCTACAGATCCCGTCATCTGACCTGGGATCAGCGTGTCACACACTGCCACCTGCAGGGCACCGCGAGAGTGCGTCACAGACCACAGTGCGCAGTTGTACTTCCTGCGGACTGCAGTATGGCAGTTAGGGTTCTCCTCTGATGGAAGAGGGGAAGCTTAGCCGGCCCGGCGCCCTGCTGGATGAGTGATTAAACGGCCTCTGTGTGCCACATCTCACCCATCTCCATGGCTGACAAATATTCCCACTGTCAATCTTTTTTGTCTCAATAATTCACAAAACCCAGTTAAAAATGATCAAAAAAAGAGACTGAAATGGATTAAACTGGATGCGTATACAGAGTGCGTGGGTGTGTTTGAACGTTAAATGGATGGGTGTGATGTTAATGCGTATACAGAGTGCGTGGGTGTGTTTGAACGTTAAATGGATGGGTGTGAGCAGGGGAGATACGGAGGCGTACAGCCAGTCTACTCTGGATCATGCGCCTGCTCAGTTTCCTGTGAACGCGCTGCTCTCCTGCGGCCCATTATTCATACACGTGTTCTCCCGTGTGGGGCATTTCTGTGCCGCAGGTGACGGAGAATCTCATCTTAAAGCACACGTTTCAGGGTAAGTCTCCCTCTGGGCCTCCAGCAAGACCATCTGCAAATCCCCCCCTCTCCTCCAGGATGACCCCAAGCCCCGGCCCTCTGGGTCACCGTCCATTTTTGTCACAGCTGAAATCAATTATTCCCCATTCAGGCATCATTCTGACCTCAAGCTTACTTTCCTTAACCTTGAATTTTACTGATAAAAACTGGAGGGCCATTTATTTTTGGCGGGGGTAATGTCTGTAAAAAAACAGTGGTAACGAATCTGGATGCTGTCGGAGTATTTGTGTTGTTTGGAGGTTATAAGGCAGCGATTTTGAAAGCACAGCGGCCGAATTTCATTTTAATTCACACCATGTGTGCTCTGTGCTCTCGATAACCAACCCGCTGCTTTTTAAGAGCGCAGTTGGGGAGCCCCCCCAGGGGCCGAACTGGGTAAACACATCAAATAGAGTCTTTGGGATTCCTTGTAAACTCCGTAGAGCCTTGAGTCTCTGTGCTCGTAATTAAGCAATAGTTCTTTTGGCATTATGAGGACAGCCCCTTCTGTGTCACGCCGGACTCTTGTTTACATCTTTCCGCCAGAACCGAGGGTCCGGCCCCGTGTCAAATCGCCCACTGGACCCCAGCGGCCATCTGCTCACTTGACTCTCCGGGACAGCAGCGGTGAGTTTAAGAGGCCCGACCTTCCCAGCCGAGCACGTGTGCAGCCCGTGTCCATGCTGAGGCGCCATGCAGATGTTTTAGGCAGATGTTTGCCATGGGGGACTGACGGTGCTCCACTGCCCTTCCCGGACGACCCACCATCAGCATGCACAGCTGTATCAGCCTGAATGAAATGGCCAGTGATAGTCCTGCTCATGGGAGTTATACTTCTACAAAAATGTTCTGAAGGCAGAACAAAAGGTGATTGGTTCATAGAGATAACCAATCAAATTGTAGAGGAGGTGGGTCCAAGCAACTGGAGCAGGTGAGACCAAGACATCCGATTGGTTGGTCTGACATCCATCCTATAAATTGGTGTAAAACATTTTGCAGTTTCTACTCAGCATGTTCTTAATTTCCATATAAATGTGTAACTCCAAAAAACATCAGGCTCTGCTTTCAGTAATTGAATTTGGACCTGATTGAATACTGGCTTTTATCTCAGATTGAGGCTTGTTTATCTAACTCTACCCCCCCATGTCTGCATTCCTCCTTTTGCTGGGGCTCCTCTTCCCTCCACCCTCTCTCTCCTCCTGCTGCCCAGGCCCTGCCTCCACCCTGAAGGCCCCCCAGCCGGATCTGCACCAGTCCTGCCGCCACCCCCTCCGTTCCTGGACCAGCCACAGCTTTGGCGCCCACCTGCACAATATGACCCTGTCCAACGGGCAGCTGCGGGTGCCCCAGGATGGGCGGTACTTCCTGTACGCCCAGGTCTACTTCCGCTACCCCAGCCCCAGTGAGGGAGACCTGGGCAGCACGAGTCACCAGCTGATCCAGTGCGTCTACAAGAAGACGTCCTACATACAGCCCATCCAGCTGCTGAAAGGCGTGGGAACCAAGTGCTGGGCGCCGGACGCAGAGTACGGCCTGCACTCCGTCTACCAGGCAGGCCTCTTCGAGCTGCGGGCCGGTGACGAGCTCTTTGTCTCGGTCTCCTCGCCCGGCACGGTCCACGCCGACGAGTCCTCCAGCTACTTCGGGGCTTTCCGTCTCGACCTGTGAACGCCGGCGTCTGTGCTTTCTGGACTCGCTCCAGCCAATCAGCATGGAGGGACACTGCGCGGATCCCACACCCTGTACAGCGCGCATCTCCTCTTCAAACAAAATAATAAATAAATAGAATGCGATCATGCGATGACCACAGAGCCAAAAAGATGTGTATCAAGGCGGCTGGAGGGAATCGCTTCAGCAATCCCAGACAAATAAATACTGCAGGGAGAAGCGAGAAGGCAGCTGGCAGATTTGGGAACTCGCCAGTGCCGTCCCACATGGGAAGAATATCCCAGTGCAGTGAGGATGCATGAGGGTCTGCAGCAAACAAAGGAACAGGAGCCCCCTGGATCAAGAGATGAGGCATGGTAGCCCAGCAATCAGTCGGCCGCAGGTGACTTTGTTGACTTCAAGGGGACAGGTGACCCCTTTCTGCAGGAGTACTGATGCCAAAACCTCCCGTTAAGCACCGTTGCTCGGCAACACAAGTGCAGTGACTTGCCTATTTCATATTCTCCTGTTACTCCCCGACCTCACAGGTCTTACAATATATCATGTACAGAAAGCACAATGACACAAAAAGCAAATGTGAAAATTAGCCAGTCACTGTGTATAAATCTGCAGTGTTCTTCAGGAGAATGAGATTAGACTTTTTGAAAATGAATGTGAATGACTTGCAGTGAAGGACAGTGTAGCAGTGATATCCGTACTGTTTGACACATTCATTGGTTTGAATTGTAAATGCTGTTTGGTTATTGACAGCATGTTGTGAAACTGCAATATTTAAATGGTAAAGTCCCGGCAGCGAGCCGAGGACAGAGAAGTGTTAGAGTTTTAGTGATGACTCGAAGAAAAATCATTCAGATCCCAGCTGCAGCTTTTAGAGAAGTCAGAAGAGGACATCTTGGAAGAATTACTCTACGTCAGAAGCTCCAGACTGTTTTCATGAATTTCAAAGGCTGCAGTTGAATGTATAAACATCGCCTCCATAATCTCTCCTTCATGCCACAATTCAGCTGAGCTTTAATCTGTCCCCCTTTCCCATTGAAGTTTTATACTCTGCTGCCAACTTCCAGCTCATATATTTCTGTAAAAATAGGGTAAGTTTTTAAAAAGTATTGATTTTGAATACTTTAAAAACAGGAAGTTCAAGGAACAAGCTGGGGAAAGGGGTGGGGGAGCAGGGGTGGGGGAGCAGGGGTGGGGGAGCAGGGGTGGGGGAGCAGGGGTGGTCCGCTGTATCCTCCATTACGGGAGCAAAGATTGTTTGCGATGCATCTGTCTGGCAAACATCTAGGACTCTGAAGAAGAGGCAGTAGTGTAGCACAAGCCGGCGCTCACTGTGAGAGCCGAACGCAGGTTCACAAGCAAATGGTCTGAGCACCAGCATGTCCTGAGCACCAGCATGTGCTGAGCACCAGGTTCACCAGAGATGCTGAAATGTAAATAGTAATTTACTGCACACATTCCTTCGGTGAGATTTGAACTCCAGTCCACTACTGTACAGGTTCTAAGACTTACTGTGCAATTTTTATGGAATTGTGCCTTTAATTTTTTTATTGAATTTATTGACATATGCAGAATGTGCAAAGTGTTACAATTACTATTACTGTTAACCTACTGAAGTGCAATAAAAAAAAAATACAATCCTGTTATTGTCCCTGGCCACAATAAAGACTCTGTATGGCATGTGAGAGAGTAACGGGTGCTGAGATGCCCCCCCCTCCCCAGGGGGTCGCTTTGAGGGAGTTTGAGCCGCCTGAAGGGAGTCGTCACATTTCTCAGGCCCCAAGATCCATTCTCACGGACCACTGGCACCCAAGAAGACGCCCCCCCACCCCCACCCCGGTGATGCCTCTGAAGGAGTGAAGTCACAGCCCCGCTAGACATTTGTCTGAACATTGATTTTAGCATCTTGGGGCCATCAAATATCACTCCTGATACTCAGTCTGTAGGAGTAAAACACTATGGCGCTGAGCAGCTGTCTCTGGATGGAGGTTCACAGAGTAACCGAAAGCGATAATCAATTACCATTAAACCAAAAAAGGAACCCAAATGAGTCTCACGCGGTTTCCCTCTTCCTGGACCTGCAGGGCGAGTCCCAAAGCAGCATGGAAAGATCCCCATCAGCTTCTGTGCAGAGGACCCTTAACGCAACAGCTACAAAACCTGCAGGGAAGGCTACTGAACTAACAGCAAATAAGACAGAGGGCTCGGAATTTCAAATGTTCACAGAGAAATGCAACCCTCAATTAGGCAAAATCAGGGACTCCTTAAAAAAAAAAAAAAAAAAAAATCAAAATGCATAGAGTATAACTGCTGTTTCTAACTATATGATTTACTAGAAGCAGTCGTGCTCAAAACAATTTTGAAACCACTTCTCTTTTTATACAAATACAAATATTGATCACAAATCAAATACAGAACTTCCAGCAGATTCTTTAACCTTTAATTACTGTTAAATGTCAAAGTCGATTAAGGAAATAAATAATTGTTTTGATCCATCCTCCATGCGTCTGGTGTGCAATCATACACAAATAGCAATGATTTAAACACATCTGCCATTTGCTTAAATACGAGTACAAAAGGAAACAGATTAAAGACCAATGTTGCATAAATATTTAAAGGAATGGAGAGATGCAGTCGTACACATAAACAAACATGCTTTCCTCAGGTCTTTCAGAGACGCCTCCATCTGCTTCTTATGTGAGAGAAAGAATTTTGAACTGGAATCATGCCCTGAAAAATAACTGGTTAAAAGTGGGACGATGGGATGCATCTGTAATTAAACTTTCCGGAAGGTTTTCAAAAACCTGACTGCCAACACTTCAACCCAGCCTAATCTCCTCCTGCCCCCTGTGACAGATCTCTCCCCCCGATGCGCGTTTCATTGCGAAACCCAGGACAGCGTTCTCCAAACATGGGGAACACACCCTGCGCTTCAACCCTGCTGTGTGGCAGCCAAGTGCCGGTCAGGCCAAACAATAGACCCTGGCCGAGCTCCGCCCAACCTCCGGGGACCGCGCGGAAGTACGGGCCGGCATGCCCAGCCCTGCAGCGGAAAGCCGAAACGGGAAGGAGGATCAAGTCGGACACTTCCCCTATTTAAACGCCGACGCTCGCCGTGCCAGGACCACGGCGTCGAAACTGAAGATGCAGAGTGACTGGCAGAAAATGGTGGAGGGCTTGTGACATGAACGAGTGACTATCAGAGAAGGCAGCGGCCACGCACACAACGATGAACTCCAGCAAGGAATCCACGTTTCACGGCCCAACAAATCAGATGCAGTGGACACACTGTGATTGTCTCAGAAAGTTGGTCAGGAATAGCAACGCACAATGGCGACACCTTGTGTTCTGAACTGGGAGCCACAAGCTGATCTAATCCTTACATGCAGCATTAGACGTTAAACCTCATTTAACAGACAACAACATACTCCAAGTGGATGATTTACACATTCCTACCCTAATCAAAGGGTAACATCTCAAAGGCTTGAGGTTTCAAGACCATTACCTCTCCTGCTACCGTGAGACTCGTAAACCAGCGTGAGGAATGAGGAGGCTATAGGTGGTTCAATGAGGCGGATGGTGACACGGTGACATCTGATGCTACTCGCTTGGACCACAGACCTGAAAGCACCTGCAAGCACACCGACACATACAGAATGACTCTCCAAGGTCATCCATCCCCTGACCACCAGTGCCCCCTGTAGGAGACCTGGTGGACACCCTAGAGAACTCCTTTCTCTAGTCTTCTGCTCAGCAGCTGCCTAGTCCTGGTCACCCACATCTACCAGCGGGCTCAGGGTTAACAGGAAGAGCGGCTTTGAGGGGCCTCACAGGGGACACCAACTGCGGGAGCGACGACTTCATCATCAACATCTTCATCATTTATTATTATTAAATCCCAAGTCACAGTAGTGATATGTTTTACTGCGTAGCAAGTCTATGCAAGTCACAAAATAAACCAGGAGCTGGAGCCATAGTGCAAAAGAATTTTTTTAAATCCTTCTGGTGCTCCACATGGCTCCACCTGGCTCCACCTGCAACACCACAGTGGACACGGCCCTCTGGGGAAAGGGGGCGGGGCCAACGAGTAGGCCACAGCTCTGTCGGAAAGGGGTGGGGCCTTCAAGCCAGCCAGTCCATAGACACAGGTCTGCGGAAAGGGGGCGGGACCATCAAACTGGCCAGTCTGTAGACACAGCTCTGCGGAAAGGGGGCGGGGCCATCAAACTGGCCAGTCTGTAGACAGCTCTGTGGAAAGGGGGTGGGGCCATCAAACTGGCCAGTCTGCAGACACAGCTCCGGGGACAGGGCTCAGTTGAAGAGGATGGAGTCGGGGTCCCGGTTGGCCATCTGAGCCATGTGCTTCAGGATATCTTTTTTGGTGATGATCCCCAGCAAGCGGCTGTGGGACACCAGGAATCATAGTTAGTTGACAGAAACACATATATGCAGTAGTAAGCTTTTCTGTCGTCTGATAGGTGAACCCAAGAGAACGCGATCCCTCACCCGTTATGCGTGACCAGGCACTGGCGCAAGCCCAGCTTGCGGAAGATGTCCACCACGATCTCCATGGCGGTCTGGTCAGTGACGGTGAATGGGCTGAGGTCCATGATGGGGCGGAGTTTGAGGGGTGCGGGGCTGCTGGGGGGCTGGGGGGGGATGTACTCCGTGAAAAAGACGCGGGAGGTGCTGACGATGCCGTCCTGCCGGCGGCGGGCATTCTCTGTGTTACAGTGAGAGCAGGAGAGAAAAGGAGCAGGGAAAATGAAACAGCAGGCAAGGACCCAATGTTAACTCTAATGCAAAAAGGGGCCCAGCTGTGCCATTCTTTAGCCAATTCCGTTTTGGATAAGGTAACAAGCGGCGGGCGTTAGCCACGGGAGCTAGCGGCGGGCGTTAGCCACGGGAGCTAGCGGCGGGCGTTAGCCACGGGAGCTAGCGGCGGGCGTTAGCCACGGGAGCTAGCGGCGGGCGTTAGCCAACGGGAGCTAGCGGCGGGCGTTAGCCAACGGGAGCTAGCCAATTCCAGTGGTTGTACTTTTTGATTTTAAAATGTGAGTTCACTCATACTAATAGCTGACACCATAGCCTAGGGTAAGAAGCATGAGCGATGTTCTGGAGGCCACACACCGATGGAGATGGTGAGATCCCTCCGAAGCACAAAGCCCACCAGCCGCTGGGACTCATGGGACACGACGACGGGGAAGCCGCTGTAGGAGGTCTCGGCGATGAGCGTCTCCACGTCCTCCACGCTCATGCTGTCCTGTGTGAGCACGGAGAGAGGCGGGTCGCTGCGCCGTGGCCGCATCACATCCATGGCCAGCGTCTTGTGGCTGAACTCCTCCTTGGCCTCCAGGAAGGGGTATCCATTGAGGCGGATGTGGGCCTCGTAGATGCCCTCCCTGCCCAGGGCGTCGGCCACCCACTTGCTGGTCATGGCTGCCGCCATCAGGGGGACGATGTATTCGAGGCCACCGGTCAGCTCGAACATGATGACGACCAGGGACACGGTCATCCGGGTCACGCCGCCTGCGAAGGGACCGGACGGTGAACGGGATGGTCCGAGGATGGGGGGGGGAAAGTGATGGTGATCCCATTCCTACTGCTGCCTACTTCCAGCTTAGCAATACGGACCTCTCAAAGTCCATCTGGAACTTGGTATTTATAAAAGCAGCAGCTGGCTGTCATTCCCAGAATAAAGCAGCTTCAAAATTAGTCATGCATCACTTAGCGACAGGGAAACGTTCTGAGAAATGCCTCGAAAAGTGACTTCATCCATGTGTGAACATCGCACAAATGTGTACTTGCACGAACCTAGATGGTATAGCCTACTGCACGCCTAGGCGATATGATACAGCCTAAATAACAAAATAAATTATAGTATAGTGAATACTTAAATAGTAACAGCTTATTATCATTAGCACAGTAGGTTTGTTCACACAAGCATCACCACAAACACAGTTGTGCTACGACATTACGGTAGCTCTGATGTCACTAGGCAATAGGAATTTTTCAGCTCCATTATAATCTTATGGGAACACCGTCGTATTTGTGGTCCGTTATTGACCAGAACATGGTTCTGAGATGCATGACTTTAAAAATGTTATGTGTGAGCTGCATTCTGGAAACACACACGCATTTTCAAGGTCTGATCTTGACTGGTGCCGCATAATATAAAAAATAAAATACAAGAAAATTGTGTGAATATAAACCAAATGAACACCCACAGTATCATCTACTTAGATACTCAGTCACAGATGGGAATTAGAAAAGATGTGACCGAGTAGTGAACATGGTCCAGCTTAGCCAGACACGTTTGGCGTGAATGGTCCGTGAAGCTGTAATACTACTACCGGTACAGTAGGGGGAGCCCAGGCTTGCGGCTCTGAGAGTGTTTACCTAAGCAGGCGGCAGCGCCCACCATGGCATAGAGCCCCGGGGTGATGCAGTCGGCGCCCGGGCTGCACCAGCCCCTGAAAATCACCCAGTCATGGTGGTAGTAGGCCAGCTGCTCCATGCCCACCCCCAGTAGCCTTCCTGCAATGGCCCCCACCGCCATGCTGGGGATGAAGAGGCCAGAGGGGACCTGCAGGAGTGGAGAGGGGAGGAGAGGTAAGGAGGTTTTAAAAGACAAACAACCATGTACAATCACATACTGAAAGTATGAATGCTAGAAAAAAAGATTAAAAACACTAAGAGCCAGAGAGGGACAGATATAGACCAATGGCGGACAAGGACAGACTCCGCAAACAACCAGAAAGGGACAGGCACAGACCAGAGGCAGTCAGAGGGGGACAGGCACAGACCAGAGGCAGTCAGATGGGGACAGGCACAGACCAGAGGCAGTCAGATGGGGACAGGCACAGACCAGAGGCAGTCAGATGGGGACAGGCACAGACCAGAGGCAGTCAGAGGGGGACAGGCACAGACCAGAGGCATATGAGCCAAAGTGCTGTACCTTCATGCCGAAGGTGACTACGGTGATGACCATCTTGAAGACGAGGGCAAGCGCCAGCTGCCACATGGCCATGTAGACGTTGAGACCGGCGGGCCGGTCTGGGAGCTCGTTGCTGCTTTTGGTCTCATTGGAGTTGATGTAATCGCACAGCTTGGACGAGTCGAGCGGGGTGCAGTCGTTGAAGAGCTCCGAGATGAGCTCGCTGGTGCTCATGCGTGTGTATTCGTTGGGGAAAGCCAGCAGGGCCGTTACCGCAGTCACTAGCAGCACTTCCAGCACCGGGTAGTGGCCCAGGCGCGTGGTCTTACGACGCCGGCACCAGGCGATGTTGGCGCGGATGAAAAAAGCGCCCCACAGGCCCCCAAAGATACCCAGCAGGACGAAGGGCACCAGCTCCAGCAGGTGCCAGGGGCTGTGGAACTCTACGTAGAAGAGCACCAGGCGGCTGTTCCCAAAGGGGTTGATGGAGCGCAGGGTGAACGCGGCCACCAGGGCAGCGAAGAAGGACCGCCAAAGGGTCTTCAGGGGGAAGTAGTAGCTCACCTGAGGGGGACAGAAGTGGAGAGTTCAGTACAAACCACCTTTGTGTCTGTTGGACTGGTTAAAATCTATATCCTTCGTTCCAGTTGGGAGCTGGATATGACATCACACCCAAGTTAACCACGTTACAGTACAACAAGTGGGGAAGCCATTTTAGCAATACCAGTTCTAGCCATTGTTAGGAATACCAGGTGATAACTCATTACATGTTATTTTGTACATATAAACACCATAGCAACATGCCCACAGATGGAGGTCAGATAGTAATGTGGGTATGACCAATTTAACGAGCCACAAGTAATATATTAGTGCTAATAAATGGCATACAACTACAGTTTTGACTTCTGTTGATAAAGGGTGCAGCCCTTTAGGGTTGTATGGGTTGCTCCAACTTTTTTTTTTTTTTTTTTAAAAAGCACATAGTATTGTTCAGGTCTCGTGCTAATCTGGGCCTGCGATCAGTGACATGATATGGCTCAGGGGGCCAAACTCACCTCCTCCAAGCTAAAAAGCACACCCCCTATAGGTGCACCGAAGGCCACAGACACACCAACCGCAGCAGCAGCGGATAGAACCTGAGGACACAGAATATGGACATTTGCAGAGACACAGGGCACACGAGGCACATGGGTCAACCAATCAATGGATAGCCCACCCATTGCCGACCAATCAGGGCAGACACAAGGGGTAGCCCACTCAGGGGTGACCAATCAGGGCCGACCGATCAAACTATGTCAAGCTCACCTCCCGCCGCTTGGCCTCATTCTTGCGGTACTTGGTGAACACATGGCAGAGAATGTTTCCACAGCAACAGGCCACATGGACCAGGGGACCCTCTTTACCCAGGCTGAGGCCCGATGACACCGCCAGGACCAGCGTGATTGTCTTTATCACCAGGGTCCATTTACCCAGGTATCCCCGGATGATGAACCCACTCAGAATGGTTTTAATCTGGACAAGGAATGAGACAGGTGAACAGCTTATTACCACCATTAAGATCTGACCCAAAGTTCTGCTTCATCAGGGAGGTACAGCCCACATTAGCAAGGTGTCCAACTATTAAACAAGCTGAACCTGTACAAAGGAAATCCAGCCTGAATTCACAGCTTAGACGACACGAATGTGTGCATTACCTCGGGGATCCCGGAGCCGCAGGCGTACGGGGCAAAGGCCCTCACCAGAGACACGGCCAAGAAGGCAAAGAGCAGTGCCCAGCAAACATACATCAGGTAGTTCACAATGTAGGCGAAGCTCCCCTACAGGACACAGGAGGAATTACAGGAGGAACTCACAAAAAACAGGATCTCTAACCTGCAGATTAACGAAAATGACGTTAAGCGAGTTATACAGGTCATCCATGTTCCTACGTGTTCATATGGTTTTATTCAGAACCTCATCACAACACCAACGTGCAAACTTTCTCCATGTTGAATCAAAGATGTCACTGTCGAGAGTGACACCACAAACCACTTTCCTGAACTAGATAAGGGATGAAGAACAGCAGCAGCATCCGTGGAAGGCGGTAAGGGGACGCACCTCCGCAGTGCCGAGGATAAGTTCCGCCCAGGTCTTCCACTGCGGACACCGGTCCCGCTCCACAAAGGTGGTCTCATTGGAGTTCCAGCAGCAGTGCTCGTGGTTGAACCAGAAGCCGTTGAGACACACGCCATCCTTGAGGTCAGTCATCCAGTGGGCGGAGATGTCGATGCCACCGGCCAGTGCGCCTACCAGGCCCGGGAGAGGGGTGTTGAGAAATGCCATCCGTAACACATACCACTGAAGGACAATCTTGGCTCTACTGAGCCGTATCCCATCACCAAACTGGATGGGACCCAATCCAAATGCCTTCAAACTGTGTGCTGGTCAGAGGGTCTGACATCCTCCATCCACCCACGTGAGTATAACTCTACCCACACACACCCATGCTGCCTCTCTTACTGCAGGAAACCAACACCCTGCTGGCACCAGATCTGTCCTGTAGGGGGCGCTGGTGTATATAAAATAAGTAAACAAAATGAGCAGATGGGGCTGGCTGGCCCAGTCCTGACCTGACATCAGGCCGATGAGTAGCATGAGGAGCCAGCCGGAGAAGGCATCGCTGACGCTTTTCATCAGCGCCCATGTGGACTCCTTACTCTTGCTGGCGATCTGAAGGGGTGCAGAGAGGGGGGGAGAGTGAGGCACGGGCCAGTCAGCGTCCCGCCGTAACCAGCCTCCTTCCTGACTGGCTGGTGCGGACGATAATGCCGCTGCGAGATCGGGCAGCGGGGTGGGAAAAATATGGTTAGGGGATTGCGATTACAAAACTTAGTAACTGATAGCAAATAAAATGAATTAAATAATAAAAACAGCAATACCCGTAACCAATGTAATTATACACATTTTAAATAAGACATAATGATATTAATAAATATCATAAACATCCCCTATAGTTATGAGTCTCACAAGAACTGCCAAGTAACTACTTCAACTGAACATGCGGGACTTGCTAATTTGTCGCTTGCAAAGGGGCACTGAAGGCAACACGGCTACAGATGGTCAACGAAAAACGTGTCAGTGTTTTTATATGATGATTTGTCAAAGGGTCTTGCTCGAGGACCTGCAGACGTGCTGAGGCTGGGTTTGAACTGGCGACCTTCTGATTACAGGCATAGCCCACTGAGCCACACGCTACCCTAAGTAGTGTTTCTTACTAAGACCATATCCTGTTGTAGTTTGTGTAGAGCTTTTTCCTCCTACTGAAAATGGTGCAAATATAATCATGATTCCGCATTGTATTATTGTATTAGGTATTAATATAATCAATCGCGTCAGATTCGCATTGTAGCAGGGCTGACTGCATATTGTGTGTGGACAGTCATATCTAATTGCTCTTTGGGGGCAGGGGGTGGTCGTCACCTCTCGATGGCGGTCGCGGTCCTTGGACTTCTCGCGCACCCAGTCTATGGTGTTAAAGTCCTCATAGGTGCCCACCCCAGGCAGGGGCTCGTCAAGCAGGTCCATGAGCTTGGGGGCCCCGTTGGTACAGTCTGTGCCACTGCCGTACGCAGGATAGCCTAAAGGGAAAAGGGATGGGGAGTTAGAACCATTAACATACAGAAGCTCATGGAATAATGCATGTTGATCAAGACATGATGACTAGGACTGCATTGGGAAAAAAAAGCACACCACATGATAGCTGTAGAACATCGTTATGATGCAATAAAACGGAAAAGTGCAGTAATCAAGGTGAGCACCAAGAGCTAATCACAGGACATGAGGGAATGCTTATCTGCAATAAAGGATGCAATGCCTGTATGGATGCCAGGCTCAGAAGATGTTACATGTTAGCCAAGAAAAACAAGCCAAGAAACACTCAGGACTGTAGACTTTGAGCCCCTGTAAAGCACAGCAAGCCCAACTCGGGAGAACATACAGAACATACAACCAAGACCGGCTCACAATCCAAGGAACCCCAAAACACAGGACGGCAGCTATAAAGTATAAACCACGTGGAGTTTAAACAGGCCAGAGTCGAGGAACGTACTCCAACTGACAAATAAGAAGCACAGGCTAACTAGTTTGGGTTTAAGCAAAAGGGCCAAACCTTTCTGGAAATGATTAGCCGTGGGGTTATTCGTTAATTCGCCGTTTACAGCGTCATGGCCACATTCCTTTATCTGATAGAGTTACCTCTCATGGGAAAGCGGTTCAAAAGTGCCGAGAGACCATCAGCATCAGCTGACTGAGTCACCAAATGACCACAGCACACCTCAGTGACCTTTACGCACTCTCACATGTGTGAGATCGGCACAGCTCCTCATACGGGGAAGAAGAAACGAAACCGTCCACATTTTTTTTTTTGGGTTTCCATAGAGTGATGTGTCTGGGACGATATACTTATTTGATTCATTTTTGTCGTAATGCCGTTGAATTGTTGACCGAGTGCTTTCCTGCGGACAGACTGTCAGAACGAAACCTCAATCCTGAGAACCCGAGGTACTCAGATCACAAAAATGAATACATGTAAAATACATGTAATAATCGAATTAAAAGTTACATTCCCATTCACTGCCAATGACTTCCGTATATGCAAACTACTGGTACCACAGTGGACGCCTCTGCTCGTGGTTAAATGGAGAGGAGGCAAAGAGCCTCTGAATCTGGCAGTCGCTGGCCCGGCCAGTCCGACCGCAGCAGCACGAAAAGAAGCACGCCAAGTATTTATAAATAAAGAGGTGCTGCTATAAGGGGGTGCAATCACATCCTGCCATCTCACACCTTCACGGCGTCAGGGTGAAACCGGGCCAGCCAGCGTCCCGCCGTAACCAGCCTCCTTCCTGACTGGCTGCTGCGGACGATAATGCAGCTGCGAGATCGGGCAGGCAACAGGAAATGTGCTGGTTAAGAACATAAATGTTGATGATTACAGGTTCCCAGGACGGAGCTGCATTAGCACTTAAACTCTGATGTTACAAAAATATGAAAAGAAAGAAAAAAAAAAAACAAAGAACGAAAGAAGCCCACCCTAATTCTCTCGTCGGTTCTAGCGCTCGACACCTACATTCCCTGGGAAGTTGAGAGAACGGCACAGCGTGCCACTGTGACAGCCAGGTATCCCCTGACCGGCTGCAACGCACCTCGGGGTGAAGGATCACAGAAAGACGAACTGAGCGCTAATCTGTATGCAAAGACAGATGAGGGTTGATTCAGAAACAGTATGAAGTGCTGTAGTACAGAGAGCTGAAAGCCAGGCTCTAGGCAACGAGCGTAGAACCTCCTACTGGTCCTCTAGCGGACAAAAACACGGAACGCGGGGCGAAGGGAGGAAGCGCCGGCTCAGAAGAACATGCTCTGAATGATTAAAGCAGGCTTGGCTGCCTGTGGAAGGCAGATGGAGGCTGCAGGGAGGAACCGGCAGGGGCGGGACGGGGGCCGCAAGGAGCCGATCTGCCATGCAAACTGACAAAGACCAGAACCGGCACCAAGACGGAGGCTACGAGGAGCCGATCTGCCATGCAAACTGACAAAGACCAGAACCGGCACCAAGACGGAGGCTACGAGGAGCCGATCTGCCATGCAAA